TTTTAAAAATTATCTTGGACCGTTTACAGTCACTTGAACTAACTTGTGATGGCAAAACATTGAGCAACATATGAGAGAAAAACGACAAAAATTCCTTCACTCAAATTCAGCTAGCTTGTCTTCGTTTAGAGGCGTTGCCGCACAACGTCGGTTCCAAGAAGTCATTTTTTTTTTACAATCGACAAGGGCTGCACAGCAGTGCTGTACAGCCCTTGTCGATAGAAAGCCATGCTGTCCCTAGCTAAGTTGTATATTTGTATTTCCTCGCGTTGCCACGTAATCCCTCCCCTTCCCCCCTCCCCTTCTCCACCTCCCCGGGCCATTTGCTAATGAAGGACTGTCGGCGAACGCAACTACAATTGAGAACTCTATGCAAGGCACATTACCGTGAAGCACAAAGCCCCCACGGGGAATCTGTATCACCGTAAAAACAAGGCAAGGGAAATAGTATCTGGCAAGTATAAGTATCTTGGTGTTCACATTTTGTGACCCAAACAAACCAGCTTACCATTTCCAAGTATGCATGCGTACGGTACAATGGAATACAGATAGAAGTCAACAACCACGAGGGTTTTGTTCTTGGATGTTTCCACGTCAGTTCATACAGTGATGGTCCGGGTCATATTTTATATATTTCTGTAAAATACATACTATATGAAAGTGATGTCTTTGGGAGAAGCATCAGCTATACACACAGGGGTTTTCACGAAACGCGGGCCAAATCTTTCCTGTGAAAAGTACGCATCGCACATGAAAAGGGTTGATACAATATTGGTTCCTGCCAAAGGGCACATTTAGGAAAAAATAAGTGTTTGAGATACTTAGCTTATTAATTGCTTTTAGTAATAAACTTTCTAATGAATAAATTTCAAGGTATAACTCCAATTAGAAGAATGGCGGGCATAATTGAAACTATTAAATCTTTTCACATTATAGAGATATAAGGCATGCGCAGCCTTTTTCGGCGTTCAGTAGAGAAATAAATTGAAACGTGTTTGGGAAGAGAAAAAAGAAGGGGGCGGGGGAAAACGGGTTGGGGGGGGGGGGGGGGTCTTAGGAGGCAACGCAAGGACATACAAATATGAAGCTAAACTATGGACACCATAACTTTATACACCCTACGATAGAGCAAGCATAGACAGTCTTTGACAGTTCTAGGAAACGTCTCTTAAGAGCCGACGGTGTGGGCCAAAGCCCCTAAACGAAGACATACTGAGCTCAATTGGAGTAGTTTGTTGTCGTTTTTTGGTTAAGAAGGTCATATTTTACTCAATGTATTGCAATTACAAGTTAGTTCAGATCACTGTGAACGGTTAAGACCGATTAAAAAATATAAAAAGTGGATTTTCTTAATTATTGACTTGCAATTTTGCCATGTCTTGAACAATCAGCTGCGTTTCTGCATTAATAACAGAACTACAATAATGGCTAATCATATTTTATTATATATTTCTAAATTGCATTTAAAAATGATCATATATATATATATATATATATATATATATATATATATATATATATATATATATATATATATATATATATATATATATATATATATATATATATATATATATTGCGTCATTTTATATAAAGTAGTTCGTAGGTCAATAATTTGTCAATATGTTGGTAAAACGTGTTTGACATGTTTCGAGATATTTTTGCATATAATTTTTATGGGAATGTTTTAACATTTTGTGTACAATTTTAAAATTGTTTTCATAAAATAAATTGAAAAAAAGTTATTACGTGCATTCTTTGGTGTGAAATGGATGACTGTACAAAGTACCGCAGCAAAACATTGGCATTGCCTGCGTCTCAAGCTTTGAAATGTTATTTATACCTCCGGAAGAAAATGAACCACATTGCTGAATGCTATTGCCAAGAACATGGCTTTCAGACATTTTTTTTTTTTTGCGTAATTATAACAAAATTTTGCCCGGTCCATCATTGTACGATCTCACGTGGAAACACATGTAAATGAGCCAAACAAAGCAATAAAATCAATAAAATTGACCTCAGTAAAACTTACATTTCCTGAATCGCTAATGCTACATGAAACACAGCAATGGTAATGCCTATGTTAAAATGCTATATATATGTAGCTTCACACTGCTTCTACAATGCTTTCAACCTCTACATTAGACCAATTAATCGATTAGTCGATCAATTGAAGGTCACCCGTTACTTGGTTAGCAATTTATAATAGGTTCCGGGTTCTATTCCTGAAAACCGGTAACGATAGCGTCAGTTAAAGTCGGATCTTTTTGTACCGGGCAGTCTCGAATTCGTGTGAGCGTTTGTAGCTTTAGTAGTTCCGTAAAATAAATCAAGCTAAAATGAAGTTTTCGGCAAGGTCTATACATTAGTTTTTGACGGTCATTTACCATGATACTACTGTCTGCGATAAGGAGGATTTTTTTTTTTTTTAGTAATGTCAATGTAGATGCGCAGAAATTACAATTTTTTTCCCCTTGTGTTTTTGCCGTTTAGTGTTTTGCGAGTTTTATTTCGATTTTTTTTCTTTTTACTGTCAGCGTGTTAATTTTTAACGAATTCCTCTCTTTGTTATGCTCGAAAGGATCCTTAGGGTAAATAAGTAAATGCATTTTAAAAAATTAAACCCCGACTGCTCTGGGGTATTGGCACAAGAAACAAAAAGGCGTTGATGAAACAACGTGGATCAATTCTCAACAGCCGATATTGCCAGCACAATAAGAAAAAGAAATTAAAAAGCCATCGTTGCCGTTAAATACATTTATACATCTCAAAATTGTCATTGCGCCCAATATAAGGAAAATAACAATCCGTATAATTTGTACCTTTTAATAGCAATAACCGCCGCTTCCTTCCTAAAAGTGTTTACGGCGCTCTTGTCGCGTGCTGCGCCTCAGGTATCGGGAGTGAAAACCGGACCGAAGAGGAAACGTTCATGAATGCGTTCGGCCAGGCGAAGCCAAGTGCGCGGAAAACAAAGCCGGTGGGAATACGCCGCCATCGAAAGTCAGAGCGACCGCCGCCGCTGTAGGAAGCGCGGGCGGGAGAGGACCGCGATCACAGACTGGAGTGCCGTTTCGCCGATGCCTTCCCAGCGACGCTGGCGCGTTCCGGACTGACGGGATGATCGGATGTAGCTCCTTTGCTGATCCATCAGCTTCAGCACCGCCATTCGAGAGGATAAGTGGCCACGTTTACATGGATCCGATCGCAGCGCATTAAATCGAGCAGGGGCCAATCACACGCAGGATGTACTCCCACCTCTTTCTCTTCTACCCATCTCCTACCAATTCAAATAGTCAAATCTCGATTCTATGCGCCACGGTTGCATCTAAGTGAACGTGGAGGCATTTACAGGATGGAATACGGTCGCGTCATGTGAGCGCATAAAATCGAGATTTGACTGTTTTGATTGGTAGCAGATGGGTGGAATAGGAAGAAGTGGGAACACAGGCTGCACGTGATTGGTCCCTGCTCGAATCGATGGGATAAGATCGCATTCGTGTAAACGTAGCCAGCGTTCGAGTTTGTCAGCACACCGCAGCTCAGAGCACGTGCAGCCAAAGGACGCGCTGCAGCAGAGCCCGTGGGGTCCTGGGTTCAAACCCCGCTTCTGCCCATCTGTATCGTATACCGGCAAGAGGTCGTCTAATTACTATTTTGTGGTCCACGTTAAAGACCCCCAGGCTAGCAGGGGTACGTCTAAATTTCTCATTTGCAGCGGAGACAGCAGACCCCCATTAGGGGGTCTGCTGTCGTTTAAACCATGAATGCGCACAACACAATTACTTTATTGCCATTCGTTAAGACACCAACATCGCTACCGTGTACGTCCAATGTACATACGTGTCAGGGCAGCCAGGAACAACACCTGAAGTTGCAAACGTATGCAAGAGACATATAGGTGCGTTCTATTTTAGTTTAATCACCGAGGAGATTAAGCAAGTGCAGGGTGTGGCTAATCATGTTCACGCTCCTTGCTTCGTTCTTCTGAGTTCTTATTGGCTAATGCCGTCATCTCACTTGCTGGGAAAGATAGTAATATGCTCGGAACGAGTTGCACCCTCTTTATCTTATCAGTGACTATCATCCGAAGGAAGAATCCTATGTAGCCCAGCCGCTGATCGTCGTGTACGAACGTCTTACGAGCAGGATCTCACACACTTGTCTAATCACTGGATATTTCGCGTTATACAGCGTGACGACTTTGTGTGAAAACGTCTATACCATAAATATTTGTCATACAAAAACGAATACTTTCTTTTTTTCCTTTTCTTTTCTTTTGGGGGGGGGGGGGGGGGGGGGAGGGGTGTTATACATAATTGCTGGACATATATGCACGTTCAAATGTTACTCGAAATATGTCTGTTTGGTCCCGCTGTACCCTTATCCAAGGCCATCGGCTCGACGATTCGCATTCTTCAAAACAAAAACGCACAAAAAAAAATTGGCGTTTTTTATGGCGCAGTAACGATGCGGGCCAGCAGCGCAATGTTTTGACACGCGAGTGGCTCCGGTAATTTGGACGCTTTTGGCAAGAGTCTCCGTAAGGAAGCACTAAATCCGACGCCTTAAGATGCGACCAGAGACAAAGGAGTAGGCCATCTGTCTCACGGTCTAAGATTACCATTCGCATTCAGCTCGCAGCCCATTAGCCTGTCATAGTACAGAAAGCGGAGTAATTCATTGAACACGGTGCGGTCGTGAATTCTCTGGCATACACCAGCGCGGACTGCTGCAGAAGAGCGAAGCCGTGACGGAGGTGCCCTGCTGACTTTCCACTTTGGCACGTCCAACCGTGAATCGGACTTAAGACTTACGCAATGTCTCAAGGACTCTTTCACTTTCACCGCTCAGTAGCCCTTCAGCGCTGAGACTCTCAAAAGAAGTGCTAACGTATTCAAAATGGCACGCCCCATTCAAAAGATCTCCAACAGTTGTTCTGCTGTCTTCTCTGTCTTATTAAAAGAACACTCGCGATGTTTTGTCGATGGACCACGAACCTTGAACCGCAGGGGTCCGATGGGAGCCGCCGCGTAAGGCACGCCCATGAAGGCCACCATGCCTTTCCCACTGGGAGTGCTGGACATCCTTCCGCGCAACGCACCCTGAGATATAGTCAGCTGAGTCATCCTCTGCGGCGCAAATCCGGACCCCTGACCCTGGTAGTTGGGCGGGAGCTGAAGCGCCTGGTTGATCAGCTCGGGGCTGATCTTGACACCACCCCCGGGAACTGGGACGATCGGTGGCGGTGGAAAACGGTGAACCGGCGTGAACCGGGCCCTCTGCTGCTGCTGTTGTTGCTGCTGGTGCTGCTGTCCGCCTCCAGCATCGCAGAGGATCCAGAGGATCGCGAGTAACAGCAGCATGGTCTCCGGGTGACGTGCTCCTAGCTCTGGTGACGGCGACCCGGACGGTCCATGCGAGGGCGTCCGCTTGGTCTGTGCCGGTTGCTCGTGCCGTTGTTCGAGGCTCGTCTGCTTACGGGGCCGGATGGGAAGCCGGGAATACACCGGGGAAGTTGAAAGGGGAAGCGGGGTCACGTGGCGGCGTCCGTGTATGCGCGTGCATGTGCGAGGGCGCGTCACGCTGCGCTGGCTCCACCCAGGCCACTCTTCGGCGCGGACTCACTGCTGCGTCGGTCGGCCGTCGCTGACGGGGCCCTGCGGCGGAGTCGACTTTTACCTTCTCCTCTTCCGCCCCCACTCCGCGTGCTCCGGCATCGCCCACGCCTTCGACGCGGCCGAACATTCATGTTGTCTTGTTCGGGACGAGAGAAAGAGGGCTTCTGGGAATTGTCTCTCGAGTGGCCACGCGTCCGTTATGTTCCTTTAACGAGAGTTTGATATATTTCGCTTCGCGATTGTGATTACTGATGTGCGTGAGCGGCTTCGATGAAAACATAATTGAATAAGCGTCGCAGAGGTGTTTTCTTTTTTTTTCTTTTTTGTTTGACGGAACCTTGGGTCTGAGATGGCTGGCATGCTACCTTGAGAAATTTAGTCGTCTTAGTGCCATAAATTACTGTCAAGGCCGTGTCTTGGCAAAAAGAATCTGTGGGCGGCGAAATTTAGAGGCTTCTCGTGCTCGTAATAACTTGTCATTTGTTTTTCTATGACTGGTTGGCAAGTGCAAGGTGACTGCCTTTATTTGTTCTTAATTTATTTCTGAACTAATCGAGTTTTTTTTTTCTTTCTTTAGTTTTTTTTTCTCTCTTCCTATGTATCTTAACTGTGATATTAAGATTTATTTCGAGGATTTGAAAGGTTAGGGGGAAAGCCCGTGGCTTTAGTAAGTGCTTTCTTTGAACGAAAACTCGTGCGAACAAACTATTTTGGGAGTTATGCTTACGCCCTCACTTTTGCGTTGTCTAGTTGGTTTCACCTGTGTTAGGTAACATCAGAACAGAATAATACAATAAGAAATAAATATTCAATGAATTAGCGTATTCTTAGCCATCTACTTCAGCTGTAAAATTCATCCAATCATTCATCGTTTATTTCACGTCCTTACCGAGAGCCCGAGCATTGTTACGTAAATCACACAAATATATGTACACACAAACATCAAATACGCACGTATAGAAATATAATTATAATTACGTTCTTCAAAGGACAGCATTGAACAAAAATATCGGTGTTAGAAAACTGCCTGCTTTTAAACATATTGAATTTGCTAAACCGGTGAGTATTGCGGTAAAGGTATAACAAGTGTGCGTGTTAACTGTTACGCGAACGTTCGTGTTCAGAAGCGAGAAATGGTGAGTTATTTAAAACATGCATGTTGTAGATCAGTGAAAAAAGAGTGCATGTGTTGAACGCTTTCATTTGCAGAAATAAAAAGATGAAATTACATACTACGATTTCAAATTCACATCTTGAGCGATTGTGAGTACGGTCTCAAAATACAGGAAATAACTACCAAGTTAAACGAGTTCATATTCCCTATCGTACGCAGAAACTGATTAACAATAAAGGACACACGGAGAAAGAGAAATGCTGATTGACCACGAGAACCCGAAGATTCCTTAGAAGCATAGTCCAACTTTTGGTTGCATTTTCTAGAAAATGTGGTTGCATTTTCTAGAAAATCTGAAAACAATAAAATATAACGTTTTCTAAAAAAAAAATTAAATGTTTGTTTGATTGCAAATGTTATAGGCTAAACAAAATTCAGCTGACTAAACAACAATTTTGCGCCGTTTGTGAACGTAAGTGCCTGAGAGTATTTCATGGAGGACATCAAGTCGCCTTATGGACACACTAGGCGACTAAGACTAGAGGACCAAAACCTGAGACCTATTAGCGATACAGACATGAAAGGTAGTGAACGGCAAGTGAATATTCTACACAGCTCCGTCTTTAATGAAGTTAACTACTGAATCGAATATTGTACAAAGCTCTACTAAGACCATATTTCTCTTATAAGTTCAGCAGTAACAGCTTATGATCGACGTTATCAAATGCTTTATATATATATAGTTACATTTGATTTACCTGACTCTGAGTCTGAATAATTAGCAAAAGATAACTTAGAGATGTACTCAGCTAACTGTGGAAGTTACGAGTCGTGCTTGAAATAGTGCCTAGCAAGCGTAATTTTGCGCATGACATGTCAATATTTACATGACAGTTCAACATTCACCATTCTATGTAAGTGTTGTACCAAACAAAGTTCACAAGCCAGTGATACTGACAAGCCAACATTGGCCATTTGTTGATAATGCAATTAATACAGAGGTGCAAGTGAGCTGGACAAGAATAACGATTTTTTTCAGTCGCGCACAAGTCACCTAGCTTTGTTAGCAGATTTTTGTTTGTCCTTTGTCCCCCTTTTTCCCCTCCTCCCGGGTTTCTTATAGGTATATAGCCATTTGTCGCCAGTGTCGTTGCAATGTTAACAACCCCTCTTCAATGTATTATTACCTTGAGGGTATTTGAAATAAATAAATAAATAATTACTGACATCAGCCACTTTATGCCAATGGTTTGTTTTTCATTGTTGGCAAGCTAATGGTTGTGCCAAGCCAACATTTACCATTTTATGCCAGTATTCCTCCAATGTTGGCAAGTCAGTAGAACTGACAGACCAACATTGCCCGTTTTAGGCCATTGCTCATCTAATTTTGGTAAGCAAATAGAACTATAGTCCACCATTGCCGATTCTATACCACTGTTCATACAATATTGGTAATTCAATAGAAATAGAACTGACAAGCCAACATTGTCCATTTTATGCCATTGTTCACCAATATTGGCAAGCCCAGGAAACTGACAAGCCAACGTTGCCCAGTGTATTCCAGTTTTCTTCCAGTATTGTATTTCCAATGGATAACTTGAGCCATCGTTGGAAACCTTACACAATGGCACAGCCAGTGTTGGTAAGCGATTGACTCCACTGGACCATCATTGCTCAATGTTTTGCCAGTGTAATTCGAATATTGGCCTAACACCGTGTGCAGCCTAGGTTTATTTCAATAGGTCTGCCCACGTTAAAACCATGTTGCACAGCTATCTATTAAACAAAAAAGATATACGAACTATTGTACACTAACTTTTCAAACAGTTTTGAAAAAATATATTTAATAAGAATACAGGACGATAATTACTAACACCAAATAACTGCCATACTTAAGAATTGGCACTACAGTCGATTATTTTTATTTATATGTAAAAACACCATTTTGTATCGATAAGCTAAACAACATTTTAAAGAATGGGAGCGAATAATATCATCTATAGTATACATCATTTTTTCCACTCGGTCACGGTCATTCATACTGGCAGTTGACCCGTTGTATATAGCTATAATATAAATAATTATAGAGATTATTTTCTTGTGAAAACCATTAAAGATGGAATCGCTTTCCCCAGACTGTTGTTATTTGCGTCTTCCTTAAATTCGTTATCTGTCGTGTAGATGCGTTTCGTGAAAAAGCGCATGCAATTATCTATCTTGAGTTTCAGCGATGCAATTATGGTGTTTATTCGATGTTCAACTTCTTGTGTCTTACGAAAACGTTGTGTTCCCACCCTGCAATAAGCGGCAAGGGCGGGCATCATTTGAGATAAATAAATATATAAATTTTGATTCGGAATAGGAGGCAGCACTTCATAACCTTAACGCTCTTAAAAAACAAAGAGCTGCTAACATTGAAAAAAACATGAACTGAAATTATGTCAAAACATCTCACAAACAAACTTTGGGGATTCATATGGTAGCGTATTCATTACGTAAGGTTATAGGGCTAGACTCCTTCCTGGTATTTTTAATCGACAAATTTTATTTATCTATTTTCAATCATTCTACTGGTCCTTAGTCATGGTCTATTTTTTATCTTTTAGAACACGACATGTTTATATTTATCGTACCAATTGTGTTCATGTAGTGATGCAAGTTTAGCCTCAAGTAATACCGTGGGTCTTTAGAGGGGATAGAGGCACATGGAAATAATAGATTCATGGTGTGATTGACCCTCGGTGTAAGGCCATCCACAGTGAAATCAGCATCGGAATGTTGCAAGAACGTACTGTCTGTGGTCCCAGCCAATAAGATTGCTTCGAAGACATAGCACCTGTGCAGATGCTGTGACCTTGATAGTTGTCCAGCTGTGCGTTCATGCTGGGTCAGCGCGTTCAGTGTTCTTTCGCCTGTCAGTGACCCTACGGTACAAATCTCAAGCGTCACAAAATCATAAATAAGATGTTTTCATTGTAATTATAATTCTGCAATTAATGTAACTAAATTTAAACAAATTACATCTATATTCATTGGCACAGACTACGGGGGGGGGGGGGGGGGGGGGCCTGCCCCCTCCCCCCCGGGCCATGATCCTTACCGAGACGCTGTCTACGTACCACGTAACGAGCTTCTAGTAGTGGCATGTAAACAAAATAACGCACACAGCGACGGGCACATGGCGATATACATACGCTGTAAAATGTACCCCCAAGAAATAAACTACTGATAATTGCCGGTGCAAACAAAATTGCGCGGGAAAGCACAAAATTGTGCGTGAAAGAACTACTCCGCCCCCCCCCCCCCCCCCCCTTCCGGAGATGTTCTCAGCCTGCCCCCCACCCCGGAAAATGGAAAGTCTACGCCGCTGACTATAATCACTTTTAACCAAATTTAATCAATTATAGTTCCACATTACAAAAAAGTAATTAAAATAAAGAAATTTAATCGCTCCCCAAGTATGTCAGGATGCGAGTTTGATAGCTCGCGGTTGGTGGACTGCTTTGTCAGCTGATCGAATGAGGAGAAGCATTCTCAAAAAAAGTACGTACATACGCGTTTTTTTTTTTTTTTTTACTTCGATATTGAAGATTTCTACTCAGCCTCTGTCAGGGAGAACACTCAGTTTGCCGG